ATTTGTATTATTTGAAGTTAATATTATAAAATACGTAAACCTACACCACAAAACTAGGTGAAGATAAATTATTTACAATTGGGCAATTCCATCGTTATGGACGTGACATTTGCAGTCAAAACCTGAAATATAAATTCTCAGAAAATGCTTTTAATATAGGCTCTTGAAACCTCTGTAAATATCATACTCCATTAATAAAGGAGTCCAGACATTAGAAAAATATAACGCATGCATTTAATATTTAATATGAGGCAAATACGCATGAGGGACGTGCGCGTGACACAAAAAAATCTTTAACTTTTTAGGTGGTAAAATATTTTGTAGTAATTTTGTGAAATGTGTGAATTACACTGCGGCAACCTAAAATTGTCAATTTTACGTAGTAATTTTCCGTCGTAAATGTGACTAAAATGGTCGCACTGTAGAGCCCTGGATAAATAATTCTGGTACTGAGTCGCCACATGATGTCCAATGTAAGATCTGGGTCCTGAAGCAAAACCAGTTGAGAACCAACGTAGTAGAGTTAGTAGGCATGTAGGCAATGTAACTATTGCTTATTTGACATGCTTATCTTATAATAATGTCCTTTGTCCAGCCTATTTTGGCCATTCTTCTGCCTGCTGTGGAGCGACTTCTTGAGCAGTGTGCACCAGATTCATGCACCTTCCTGCCAGATGAGGCCCACCTACTGAAGCTCCTGCTGAGCAAGTTCAATGAGACGTCTGCCCCTTTACTGGTCAAAGACCCTCGGTGCCTAGAGATCTTCATTAGGGCACTGGGCACCTCAGCCAAACCATACCCTACTATGCCTAGTTTCCAGATTATTGCCCTCGAGCAGGTTGGTAAACGTTTAGAAAAGACGAACCCTTTAGGTATACAATAGTTGTGTGTTACAGTTCTATTTTGGGTCTTGGATTGACACTTCTGCTTGGAGATGGTCTATTTATGACTCCTCATTTCACATAGACTGCTCGTTTTAGGTTTGCTAATACATACATACAATTAACATAGTTGTCACTATATTGTGAAGATAATACATACAGTATATCACTAGTAAAATATTGTTGTTGCACTAAGTTGGACACAGATCATTCATTCTCATTCAGTTAATTTCATATTTTCTCAGATCACCAAGCCATTCTTCACTGCTCTTGGAGATGAAAAAATTCAACAGAAAATTCTTTCAGTTCTATTTGACTTGCTGGTGGGGAACAAAAACCCTGCCTGTGCCCAAACTATCAGCAGCGTCTTTAAAATGGTATGTTCATTTTCTTTTTTCCCCAAAAATATTTTTAAATGATATCTAGAAAAATGTGTAATGTTTTTCACTTTTTTGGGGCAATAATAAACCTGATGTAAAAACCATATGTTTTGATGTGTCCCTGTTTCTAGATTGCTGTGGATGCTGAGCTAGTGGCCAATGAGCTTATGCCTGTAGATAAACAAAGAGTTACTGCTACAGTTCAGCAAACACGCAGGAGTAAAATGCAAATGAGGTGCGTAGTTGTCCTTATGTAATAGACTCTAATCTCCAGTTCTGGAGAATTTTAAGATTTTAAATTGTAATTTTCCCTCCCAGAAAAACACAAGACTCATCCGGGGCAGTGTCGGAGGAGGGTGTTGTCTCTTGGCCAAGGGTCACCCTGATTTTAGAGCTGCTGCAACACAAGAAGAAGCTGAAGAGAGCCCAGTGTCTTGTGCCTGCTCTGTTTAATCTGCTCTCCAGGTGTGTTAAGACAACATTCACTGTCATGTTTTGACATTAGACATTTACTTAAAGGAGTAGTTGACTTTTAAAAAAAACTTTTGCTGATAATTTACTCACCCCCATGTCATCCAAGATATCCATGTCTTTCTTTCTTCAGTCGAAAAGAAATGAAGGTTTTTGATGAAAACACTCCAGGATTTTTCTCCATATAATGGACTTTACTGGGAACCAAACGGTTCAAGGTCCAAAAGACAGTTTCAGAACAAACTACAAACTGTTCAAAGGGCTTTAAACGATTCCAGACGATGAATAAGGGTCTTATCAAGCAAAACGAAAAAAACAAAAACAAAGTTTAAGTTTTATGAGCTCAAATGGTCACCTTGCTCTGTACTGCGACGCACGTTCATGACTCTCCTGTTCGAACTCGTTCATCAAAATGAACAAATCTTTTTTCAAGTCAATTGGGTTATTCAACAAACGAAATGAACAAATTGACCCAGAAAAAGATTTATTCATTTTGATCAGTTACATTGAACTTCAGCATGTAACTGATTTTCAGGGATATGATATGTATCATCTATGATAATATGGTAACGCTTCCTTTTACAGTCCAGTTACCCATGTAAAAACTATGTACTTATTTTAGTAACTACAATTACTAGGTAATAACTAGTACTAACCCTGAACCTACCCCTGTTCCATGTACTTACCTTATATTAGCCAGTACTTTGTACAAAGTGCACTGTAAGTATACTGTAAGTACTGTACTGTAAAAGGAAGCGTTACCGATAATATCATAATTGTAAATTGCCAAGTAATTAGCAACTAGTGAGTGATTCAATGACTTTGATTCATATATAGATGGTCCCTTGATTTGTTCCTTCAAAAAATCAGCCGTTTGAGCAAATGAGTTGACATTTGGTTCATTCAACGAATGAAATGAACAAATTGACTCGGAAAAAGTCAGAATATCAGAAAATATCAGAAAAAATATCAGAAAATCGGCTGAATGGATTCGAAAACGGTAAAACTTAACTGTTTGTAAAATGTGCCTATTTCCAAAAAAAGTGGAGTATCTTTTTATGTTTATATCCATATCAAACTCTTGAATTTGTAAATGCTCTGGTCCAGTCAAATCAAATCTCACCAACTTTGCTGATTAAATTTTCTCTGAAATATTTAACATAAAAGATTGTGAAAGCTTTGATTGTGTCCTACAGATGTCTGGAGCCTGCAGCAGTTGAACAGGAAAATATAGAGTACATAAAACAACTCATCCTCAGCTGCCTGCTGAATGTCTGTCAGAAACTGTGTCCTGATGGAGGTCCTATCGGCAAAGGTACCAGACACCTGGCATGAAATGACTATTAAAACATTATAATTGTTATGATGAGTTCAGATGTTTTTAGCCTTATCTGCATGGTAATATTTTACTTGAGGGCGTGAGATAATTTTGCTGACCTTGAGAAATAATTACCTTCCAGATTTGTGTCACTTTGCTGAGAATATAAGCACAAGCTTTCTTTGAGTGGGAACTTTGGACAATGTATTTGTTTGTGTTTGTAGATGAGCTGGAGGAGGATAAATTTAACGTGGAGCTGGTAGTGCAGTGCGTCAGGATGTCAAACATGCCCCAAACTCACCATCATGCACTTCTTCTGCTCGGTGCTTTGGCGGGTATATTCCCTGTAAGTACAGTCATGAAACACTCGCACGCATCCGTTCAAATCCAGTGGTAACCGCCTTTCTGATTTCAGGAGAAGGTTCTTCACAACATCATGCCCATCTTCACGTTCATGGGCGCCAACATCATGCGACTAGATGATGCTTACAGCTTCCAGGTCATCAACAAGACTGTTCAGGCAGTTATCCCTGCTCTTATAAAGGTTTGTTTAATAATACGGGCCATAATACTGTACTAACCACCTAGAACATGCTATAATTTGCATAACACAATAGCTCATTTAGAAAACTGTATGGCTATGCTTTTGCAGCCAAATACTATTTGCTATCGCACAGGTGGGGGAGTTTTACACAGGGAAGGCCTAATCATGTTTTCTTCATACAAATGTGAAAGTTTAGTTTTTCCATTATTTACACGCAATTTGTAACAGTTTTTCCTTTTTCCATTACACTTGATTCTTGATTATCCACAGGCCCATGATGGTGGAAGTGCCCAGTCTGAGGGGCATATGGAGACTGTGGTAACACAAATCATGCACGTGTTTGTTGATGCCCTGCCTCATGTGCCCGAGCACCGACGTTTACCCATCCTCAGCCAGCTGCTGGGCACGCTGAGCCCGTCTCGCTTCCTCTGGGTCCTGATGCTGCTCCTGTTTAAGCAGCATGTCACACAAACATCTGTCAGTGCAACTGGGGCTGAAAAGGTACAGAAAGTTTCATGCATATTTCTAAATCTTCAATTGTATTGGTATTTTGGGTTTTTTAGCCTGTGATTAAGCAATTTATCTCTAAAAAATGCTTTGGTAAACTGGAAACCCATTTTTGGTTACTTTGTTGACACATTTGTGTCATGTGTTGTGCAGGAGTCTATTGTAGAGACAGATCAGGACTTCTGGATCTCGGTGTTCTGTGAGTTTGAGATAAAGGAGCAGCTGACCTCCCTCATCAGAATTCTGCAGTATCTCATGACTTTACCACAGGACAATGAAGACGGTAAGAACTACTTCAATGAAATGCCTCAAACATTTTCTTCAGAAGAACAAACATTTTTTTAGAAAAAGAATCCATCTTAAAAAGCATACTCGCATTATGATGCATGAATAAAACTGCACTAATCGTTATTTTAATTTGTGTGCCTGCCATGCAATTATCACAATACTTTTGATAAGAAACCAAGTCTCAGCTTTCACACTTGAACTGATCGTGAACATCAGATGGTATTTGAAAGATATATATATATCCAAATGAAATTGAATCAAGATCAGATTCAAATCAAGAACTTCTCAACAGGACTCGAATCAAATCTTGAAATGTGGGTCAATACTAGGGGTGCACGATTCAGAAAATGTCACGATTCGATACCGATTTTTGGTCTCGAGATTCGATTCAAAATCGATTTTCAATTCAAAAACTATTCAAAAAACGATTCGCAGGTCTATATAAATGTAGTTTACTTTTTTTCTATGTGATTGATTGCAGTAGACATAATTTAAAAGAAAAGTTTGATATTACTTTATAAGTCTTCATACAAAAATAAAAACTTTTGCAACTAAAAAGTGCGAAGTGCCAAGCTTTGGCCAGCTTTTAAATACATTTAATTCAAGTTTAAAATAAAACTTAAATAAAAAGCTTTTACATTTAGCTTTAAAGTGCTGTAGTCAGATCAAACAAACAATTATGCTAAATGTGGTTTAAGGAGTAGGCCTACTTCAGCTACCAGGTTGACTGTTGAAATGTGAACTCGACTGGGCACATTGAACTTCCTAAAAATCTATACTAATTTCATAGAACCCTTGCGAAAATATTTTAAATAGATTTTAAAAAGCCACCGCTACTGGTAACATCTATGGTTAGATTGATTTGTTTAGATCCAGTGAAGTCGTTCATAGGCGCGTAATTTGCGGGTATCTCCAGTTAACTAGCAGAGCATTCATTTAGTTCGCTATTAAATAAGAGACCTGTTGTTTTTGAAATCAAGCTGAGCGCTCGTGTCCGCTGCAATCAGTGTCATGGATATACAGTGTTCTCTGTGGCTCGTGCAGTCTTCTCTCGGACGCGCGCTTCAATCTATCGCCGTTGTGGAGACTCCGGTGAAATCACTAAATAAAATGCACACAAACGTGAAGAACATATTCGGTTTTGATGAGAGAGAGAAAAAAATATACGAGTGCGGTTTAGAACCCGTAACCTCTGAGACGCTTGGCAAAAGGTCTACAGAACGCAAACATAAGATCTGCGGATCGATGCATTTATTTACGGGTTGAGCAGAGTGGCTGCACAGTTTGACCAGCGGGCGGCAAGAACTTGCAATAACTATATATATGAATCGATTTTTGGAATTCTATGAATCGATTCTGAATCGGTAAAGATTGAATCGCGATTCAAATGTGAATCGATTTTTTTTGCACACCCCTAGTCAATACCCAGCCCTAATTGTAAGAATAAGATATGAAATTAAACTTTAAAATTGAGGATGGAGAAGGAAATTGTGTGATATTTCCTCTGTGCAGCTCCAGAGAAAAAAAGGACCCGTGGAAGAAGTGTGGCGAAGAAGGAAGAAACCGTCTCTGATCTCATTTTCAATGTGGAAGTGCATAGTGGCAAAGACCTCCGCCATTTTAAATTCCTCTCTGTCTCGTTCATGGCTCAGCTACTCTCCTCTGAGAGATTCATTGGAAAGGTAGGTTTAATGTTGATATTAAAATGCCCCTAGCAATATTTCAATAAACATCCTACATGTGTAATTTTTGTGACTTATAGATGTCTGACTGCGAGGACCTGACAGAAGGCACCTTACAGACTCTTCAGCACGAGTGAGTAGAAGCTTGGCTACAGTACTTGACTTGATGGTGATTATTTGTGGTGTTGTTTGTGGGGGTGTAATGTCTGTGTTAACTTGCTAGTTTGCTGGAGGAGGTTCTGCTACATCCATGCAGTTGCTCGATGTGTTGAGGATAACTCGGATAAACCCACGGCTAAATTCTGGAGAGCTCTGCTCAGCAAGTCCTATGACACCCTGGACAAGGTAGGAATCGCTGCATTGATACAAGTATGATTTGATACAAGTTGAGTTGACAACACAGTGTTCTTCTAACAAGGCACAATCTTATCAAACAAGCATACAGTTAGTTTTCATACTGTGCACAATATACATACTATATACTGCAGAAATAGTAACATACTTTTCTATTCCGACTGAACCACAGTCTGTTTTCTTGAACTGGCGACCTTATTGAACAGTTGTTGTTTTTTTTGTGTACGCTTTCATTTGTGCATGCATATGCTTAAAGCATGCTGTTTTATGTAATTTTTAGGTTAATGCCCTGCTGCCCATGGATACCTTCATTATGGTAACGAGAGGACTGATGGGTAATCAGTTAGCGTCAGTAAGAAGGAAGGCCATGGAGTTACTCAATAACAAACTACAGCAGCGGACACGCTGGCGGGAGGAACAGGTAAAATAAAAACTGTCATTGCACAAACTGTTTTTATTTAAGCGTTTAGACTCTGTTTTAAATATTGTATTTTATAACTTATAACAATAGACTGCCAATTCTACATTATTAAATGTTTTTAAATGTCTGCTCATCTCATAATCCTATAATATTTCTGTCAGATTACTGTACTTCTGGAGCTCATTGGCAACCTCCTGAACACCGTTGGTGGGAGACACGGACAGGTCACGGCACAGGTAGAGGAAGAGTTGGCTATCAATCGACAGACGGCCCTTTACAGCCTCAAGCTTCTGTGCCGTAATTTTGGCACTGGCCACCAGGAGGCATTTATACCAGTGCTGAGCAAAGCAGTGGAGCTGATTGCTAATAAAGACGAGGAGAAGAACGTCGTGGGAAGTGCTCTTCTGTGTGTTGCGGAAGTTACCAGCACACTGAAAGCCCACGCTATACCACAGTTACACAGGTACTGTTAATCCCATAGTATGGCCTTTGATTTTTATGCGTACGTTAGCATATGCACACAGTGTATAAGATGTAAATATCGTCATCAGCATTAAAGGAGAACTCCGGCACAAAATGAACCTTTGGTCTAATAAAACATCGGTACCTAGTCAACCGTTCTCTGAGATTTGTTTTCATGATAATCGAATGTAAAGAGTTTTATCTCTAAAAACTGTTTAGCGTATAATGCTAGTAATGGGGGCATTTGCTAAGTAAAAATAAATTGCTAGTTTATACCACTAACAAGGCTCAAAATAGCCCCACACTAACACAGTAACATAATGAGGGTCCATACATGCAAAACGAAGCATTGAGAACTTTGTAAGTGTGCAGACCGTTTAATAAGAAGATATTTTATAAATACTTTATACTTTATATTCACTTTGTGTATACATGCGGTGCCTTCTTTGGCAAACAGTCTCGATGAGTCGAACCACGAACGTCGTGCTGAGTGAGCTGAACTGTATGAACGGCGTTCGGGGATCGACTTATCGATACTATTTTTTAAGATGGCTCCTGTCTGTATACATGAAGTGAACTGTCTTTATAAAGTATCTTCCTATTAGACAGTCTGTACACTTACAAAGTTCTCAATGCTTCGTTTTGATAACATGATGATTACGTCCCTGCAGATCATCTGTCCATCATCGTATAAAGCCCGCCCTGGCAATTTGATTGGCCCGATTCCCGAACATTTTTTGACTGATCATAAGTACTCCTCAATGGATGAGTCCAGACCGAACTTCCCGACCAAAAAATGTTGTGGGCCGAGTCCAGGCTAAATCACATGGCTGTAGTCACTAAAATGTAGCTGTTTAGCTTATCTCTCAAACCAGTCACAATTTGATGACGTAAAACCATAAAAAGTTGCCACCGACGCACATATTTAGGGTGTACAGATTCTGCTTTGTAACTGCATAAAGCGTTAGTAAACCTTAGTAAATTGCACAACTTTATTAAGAGCAGGTTGTGTCGATTCACACAACATAACTTGTAGATCTTGAGAAAATCTCAAGTGACATGACATGCTGGTTGGCTAAAGCTATAGGACTTTCTGGAGTCGATCGCATCACAATTATTGTCATTTGAAAGTTAAACCAATAGAAATTTGGGATCTGGGAAAAAATCTGGGAAATCATCACTCATCAACCCAACTCAAGTCATGTAAATATTTTTATGTTTTGTGGCGTTTACACATGCAAGTAGTTCTTATGATCAGTAAAACACTCAGATCACTTGTTTGGAGAGAGTTTTGGACTTTTAATAAAAAGGCTTCCATGGTTCCAAATGCCATAACTTCTTTTAGATAACACAAAATTTGGCGGCAACTACTGAAAAAGTAGCAACAAACTCCCACACAGACGAATGCTTGGGTTAAGAGATTCCAGTTTAACACTAGAAGTGCCAGAATTCCAAAACTACTAGAACGGCCACAGACGGTCATTTTGACCGTTAGATTCAAAACAGTGTTGACGAATAATTTTTGTAATTATTTTCGTAAACCACATTTTTTTCAAAATACGAAAACGAGACGATAACTAAATAAAAACTAGGTTTGAATGACAAAAACTATGACGAAAATGTTAGATAGCGACGATTTGCGAAGCGGTCAATAGGCTAATAAAAATAATAGGACTAGCAGAACTAGTGAACAGCCCATGCAGCAAAACAAACAGCGCAGGACAGGGCAGCAGAGCTCACCAGGATCATCCGACATGAATGTAACATCTGGATCCGCCGTGTCTGATGATAGCAGCCGTCTGATGTGGACTCTGACTCTGAATCACTCTCTGATGAACTTTCACCCAGGAAACGTCGCTGTCACTTTCCACCTCCGATTGTTCCCCTGCATCCGAATCATCACTCGTCAAGTTCTGAAGCATCTCCAGGGCCATGGTTCGAGTCATGTTCCTCCTCATTCGCTCATTCATTTTAGACATTTTAGACTTGCAATATGCTATATAGCCTATAGATAACGTAAGTAAGATAACTGTAGTCCGGTTTTATTTGCTTATTTCTGATCAACAACTAATGTAGAAATTATATAGCAAACACTGCTACAGAGGTGACCGGACGGACCTTTCTGTTGATAGTTAAGAGAGAACACGATCAACCGCGGGATATTTAACAAAAAAATACCGCAAAATTCAGTGCGGTCAATATGACCGTCTATGGCCGAAATAGGTAAATATGCTCATTTTTTTTGTTTTGCCTCACATTTACGTAACTTAATTTATATGAAAAGCATTTTAAATGAAAATACAGACAATTTTAGGAAAAGTCAGGTACCAGCAGGATTTTATTATTTTTTTCAACAAAGTTATTGTAGATATAAAATTCAAAACGGTCAAAATGACCGTTGTGGCCGTTCTAGTGTTAAAGGAACACTCCGACGTTTTGGCACTTTAGCTTATTCACCGTATCCCCCAGAGTTAGATAAGTCCGCTGCAGGAAAAACAAACACTTTATTCAGTAGGTGGCAGCAGAGGAAGAGCCTTTATTTGACTGTGGGAGTGGGAAAACTTACTGGAAGTGAATTATCTTCATGATTTGTTTGTGTTGTATTTAGGCTGATGCCTGTAGTGCTAGATACTCTAAAGGAGAGGAAGGACCTGCTGAACAATGAAATCTACCTGCTGAGTGCCGTCACAGCTCTACAGCGCGTATCAGAGACGCTAACACACTTTCTCAGCCCCTACCTTCAGGACATTATCTCTCAGGTCAGTATCAGGGTTACTTCAAGACGAATCTTAGAGTAGCATATGTGATTCGTTTTATTTACGAGGTTCTTATTTGAATCTTCTCATTATCTCCTGGTGTTCTAGGTCACCCGTTTAACTCTGCTAGCCGAGAAACTGACATCTTGCCCTCAGTTGTCTGTACGTCTCGCCTCTCTCAGCTCCACTCTTGCCACGAAAGTGCCTCCCAGGGTCCTCATTCCCACAATCACAAAATGCTACTGCGACATGGTGTATGTTCATCAGGTAGGATTGGGTGTATTACTGAAATACCAAAGTGTTTGAAACATGTATGAATGAGAGATTAAAGCTTGATGTTAAAAATGTATTCAACTCAAAGCAGTGTTCATTCACTGACTGACACACACCTGACGTGTACATGGAGAAAGCTGACTGTCACGCTTAAAAGGTCATATACACACAAAGTTGTGTCTTTGTGTGAAAAAATGCCCGTCTTAATGTGTATTTATGTAAACGTAGTTGGTTAAGTGAACTTAAACAATTGTGAGAAAATCGAATCCTATCAGTGCATTAAGTCTTCAGTGAAAGCAGCCTAACATTCTTGCTGCCGTCTGTCAATAATTTTAATTAAATAAAAAAGAGAAAAACACTGCTCTTGGCTGATTAACTTTAGTAGCTTTAATATGTGAAGACACTGTTTCTGTAGTATTTTGTACCTGAATGCTAAACCTACCTGGAAAAAAATACTATCTTTCTTTCAAAAACGATTTGGTCCTATTGTTTGCAATTTGCTGCTTTGGTCTTATTTTAATAACTAAAATAAAAACAATAACAGCTTTTAAAAAAAATTCTTTGGAAAGAAAAAAACAACTTTCTTCGTTTTGCTTTTTTCCTGTCGTACGACTACTGCCATATAATATGGTAATGGTATTTTGTGGGTTTCGCAGATGGGCGGGCAAAATGGCTCGCTAGCGCCACCTAGAAAATTGAAAATAATTAGCCCCTCGTCCACGTTCAAACTACATGCATGAAATTTGGTGGGGACGTGTATCATATCAAGACACACAAAAAAGCCTCAAGAACCCATAACCTAAACTCGACAGGAAGACCGCCATTTTGAATTTGGCGGCCATTTTTGGACGATTTACACACTCCGTACTTTAACGAACTCCTCCTAGGGATTTAGTCCGATCGACTTCAAATTTCTGCTGTGCCTTCTAAAGGCATTGACGATGTAAAGTTGTGCTATCTGCGCGTTTTCGTCGATGGGTGTGTCCGTGGCGTCGAAGATTCGCCATAAAACAGGAAGTTGTAGTAACTTGGCTGTAAATGCTCAGATCTGCACGAAATTTTACACATTTGACAAGAGTCCCGCCCTGAACAAATCTACATGCCGATATTCACCCACAGTCATAGCGCCATCTGCTGGCAACAGGAAGTGACCTTTAATGAAGCAGCCCCCGCCGCTTGTTTGACCGACATGTACGAAATTTCTGTGGTGCATCTACCATGACCAGACGCACAAAAAAGCCTCAAGAACCCATACCCTAAACTCGACAGGAAGTCCGCCATTTTGAATTTGGCGACCGATTTGGGAAGATTTACACACTCCGTACTTTAACGAACTCCTCCTAGGGATTTAGTCGGATCAACTTCAAATTTCTGCTGTACCTTCTAAAGGCATTGACGATGTAAAGTTGTGCTATCTGCGTGTTTTCGTCAATGGGTGTGTCCGTGGCGTCGATGATTCGCCATGAAACAGGAAGTTGTAGTAACTTGGCTGTAAATGCCCAGATCTGCACGAAATTTTACACATTTGACAAGAGTCCCGCCCTGAACAAATCTACATGCCGACATTCACCCACAGTCATAGCGCCACCTCCTGGCAACAGGAAGTGACCTTTAACGAAGCAGCGTAGCAAATGCACATCCGCACTGGCTGAGCTGCAGAAAATGCAACACGGCCACCTCAGACCCCGACGTGCTACAGGTGCGAGGGCCCGCCCATCGCTGCTTGCAGCTTTAATTATAAAAATGATTCCATAAAATAAAATAAAAAAAACTGCCACAAAATCACAAAAATCTCAACAAACTGAAATCCTTGTGTTAATACAAGTGTTTAATTCTCAGCTGATTCCCACTCTCTTACCTGTTGTAGAAACGTCTTGGTCCACTGATGACCATCCTGAAGGAACATATCTCTCACATGGAGAAAGACCAACTCAACAACCACCAGTCAGAGCTCACTTCCTTTTTCCTGTCTGCTCTTGATTTCCGTAGCCAGCATTGCCAGGTACTGCACACCCCGTTTCAATATGTTCTTTTTTTTTCAATAAGTGCACTTACTGATGATTACTATTATAACTTTATTTAATAGGGAGATCTAAAGAAGACTGGTGAAATCGAGGGAAGTGTGATTGACTGTCTGCTAGTGATGGTTATGAAACTTTCAGAAGTCACTTTCAGACCTCTATTCTTCAAGGTAAGCATCTACTGTTTAGTGCAAAAAAAAAGACTTCCTATAATAATACCAGTTACGGGCACTTTCAAAACGCTGCTTCAACAATCATTTTGGATTTGGAAACCCATTCAGTGTCCTTAGCTTTTTAGTTAACTCTAGAGAGGAGTATTTTGTTAAATATTTGCACCACGCTACGTATTGATTACTTTTTTAGAAGCATATTTGTATCATAAGTACATCATTAAAGTTTAATTTGGACTGTTAATTTTAACCTTTAATATTATAGTAATGTACCTGAATCTATATTAAATCAAATCTAATCAGAATCGGAATTGATTCAAGAGCTTGTGAATCAGAATCAGTTCATGAAATCTGTGTCATTACCCAGCCTTTCATCCAAGTGGGCACGGTAGTAGCCAATAAATTGGATGATTCATCAGTCAAAAATAGATTTTTAGATACTTGTTGTAGTAATTGTCAAAAGTTCAATATGTACTTGTAAGTTACTTTCTAGAACATCGTAAGTGTAAATGCATGCTGATTAAATCTCCTTTTTACTTTTCGGCAGTTGTTTGACTGGTCAAAGATTGCTGGCGCTTCTAAAGACCGGCTGTTGACGTTCTACAGACTGACAGACCGTATCGCAGACAAACTCAAAGGACTGTTTGTGTTGTTTGCTGGACAGCTGGTCAAACCCTTTTCTGATCTACTGCAGCAGCTCAACATTTCACACACAGGTAGTCTGAAATATGTTTGTATGAAATTCCGATTCAGTCATTTTTCTTTACACATTTATTTTTAATTTATGTCATTTTTTTTAACCTCAACCCCTTCTGTCTGTAGAAAAAGCCTTCTTTGATTCAGGTGATGACGAGGATTCAGACGACGATGATGATTCAGACGGTGATAACGTGACTAAGAGTAGCCAGCTGCTGCAGTATGTGTTGGACTGCCTCCACAAGATCTTCCTCTATGACACTCAGCGCTTCCTCAGTAAGGAAAGGGCTGATGCTCTGCTGGGACCCCTGGTGGATCAGGTCAGTGTAGCACACACATTGAATGGATCAAGAACTACAATCTATTCCCCCTTCCTGTTATTCCATTTCAAAATGCATTGAAATAAACTTATTTGATAATCTGTTGGATAATCAAGTTTATAATTGATTCAAAAATGCATAATCATTTTAATTTATATGGACAGTGACTTAAATACATCTCATCAATGTTTTCAGCTTCTGAATTTGCAAGGCTGTTTACATTAGGTGGTGCAGGTGACTCTTTAGGAGCGGCAGAAATAGCGGTTTCCCCGGTAACGGCTGTACACAAAGCAGCACAACGCTCATAAACGCTGCTTTATCAGGAAAGATAATCGTAATAACAAAGACACTTTTCTAAAGACCATTTGTTCACTTCAGATACATTCATATAAAAACACCCGTGCCACGTTTTGACTTTGTCAACTATGTCAATGCCAACCACTAACAGATTTTCCAAAAGTCTGTGATATTGTGAATCAATGTATGGGAAACACTGTAATATAATTTGACAGCTGTCAAGTATAGTTTAACCCAGTGTTTCCCAACCCTGTTCCCGGCGGCACACCAACACTGCGTGTTTTCTTTGTCTCCCTAATCAAACACACCCGATTCAACCCATCAGCTCATTAACCCACCTGATTGCCACATGCATCACCACAGAAGGCAAGAGTGAAAAGGGACCCTCTCAAACAGATCGTTATTAAAGCGTCATACACCGGTATTGCGGTATATTTCGGATTCGGTATGAGCCGGAATACCGCCCAGTAGGGCTGGGTATTGAGACAAATTTCACAATTCGATTCGATTTCGATTCACAAGCTTTCAATTCGATTCGATTTCAATTACGATTCGATTCAATATCGATTATTTTGGATATCAGTTACAATAAATGGCAATTTTTCTCAAGGGAATTAAATCTCTTAACTAATGATGTAAACTATGGGAGACTAGTTGTAGCCTACTAGGCTTCATTAGCCTAATAGGAAGGTAATAATGAATGAATCACTTACACTTTTATTTATTTTTATGATAAGAAGATTATATGAAATATAAACATTTAAATGGTGGCTGTCATAAAAACTTGCCAGATTTATTCAAATATGAAGGTAATAATGAATGAATCACTTAAATTACACTTTTATTTATTTTTATAATAAGAAGATTATATGAAATATAAACATTTAAATGGTGGCTGTCACAGATTTAATAAAATATTAAAATATGCATTAAATATTGAAGAACTTTAAGATTATAATGCATATGTAATATAGTGTATTTAGCAAAATGCTCCTCTCTGGAGTTATTTTTTTATCTGACTAACGAGTTGATGTGGGTCTTCTGAGGTAAATATGACGATACATGACATTGATTACAAGCTGTTTAACTGATGTCTTTCCTCGGTTGAAACGCTGATTGAGCGAATGAATGTGACATGATACGGATTTCGATAAGTTGTACTCTATCTTTTAACACACTTTCAGATGCTTATTCATGTTTATTTTGCGCTGTGACTGGTATTATTAAGCCGGAAGAGAGATCAGCGCTGCTGCTTCTCTAGAGCTGCGCCAGAGCGATCTCATGCCACAGCGCCAAAACGCTATTTATGTTTTTGAATTTCTAAAGAAAATAGACGTAATTTGAAAATTGGGACTTTGTTTCATATCAATAGTAACAAAGGACAAAGATTATTGCGATTTTTTTTGAATGCGCGCGGCCGCGATACAATGTCCCATTCATTCAAATGAAACAGGATGACTAATCGATTCTTGAGACTTAAGAATCGATATCGGTTCGTAAAAATGAGAATCGATTAATATCGAGAAATCGATATTTATTACCCAGCACTACTAGAGGGTAACTTTCCTGAGATCATCAAAAGGCTTGAATTTCTTGCAAAGGTCAGGGAGACAACCAAAGTGTGTATTGTTGGTTTGCCTCAAGGACTAGGGTTGTAAATGCTGGTGTAACCAACATGCAAGAATATGTTGTCAGGTGCAAGAAAACCATAAAACAGGTAATAATATCACAAAGAGGATGCCTGTAATCCAGGGGTGTCCAATCCTGCTTCAGGAGGGCCACTGTCTATCACCAGTTTCTTTAGGAATAGAAATCATTTCGTTTGGTTTAGAGAACAGACACAACAATTAAAAACTAAACACATCTGCTCTAGTCAGCGTAAGCCAAACTTGTGTCACAGCACAGATCTGCAGCAGGAAGATTGGTTTCAAAGCGAAATCTAAAACCGCTATTTAAGCGAGTTTGTCATTGTACTGTTTGTGTTTTTCATTAAGAATAATGAACCCACCATTCAAGCAATTTTGACCCCTGAATTGGTGCTAATTTGAAAGTGACACTGCCGCACGGCCATTCATAATGGTGCGTGTTAATTGCCGTGGAGTAAGCGGAGCAGAGCGAGCATTTTCAGTTCATTCCTATCCACAAGTTTCCTACGCCCATGAGGCCTTGCGTCAAAAGTGGGCGCGACTTCCGGTTGGAAGTAAACAAAGGGCGATTTGACATGCTTGACACTCGTTCATTCAACAGTTGACAGTCATTCAAGTTAAAGCGATCCAAACTAGCTAACGATGTGGGAACACAACCTCAACGAAATTCAAAAGGATGAAATAACAGTACCTTTACCCTCCGCAGTAGTTGATTGGGAGTATTATAATAACATTATTAATAATCAATACTCATCAAGGCATGGTGACAGACAGTTGTGCGAGCTGACAAACAATTAAAATAAAAAATACACACTTAGTCATTGATGTGCTTTGGAGTTTATTCAAAATTATAAATGAATGTGCTACTTGAATACATTAACTGGCACATTTGGTATTCTGTCAACTCAGGCTTTGATCCTGAGTTTAGGTGTAACACAGTGGTGTAGTCTACGTGATACGCAGGTATACGCCGTATACCCACTAGAAAATGTCAAGGATTTGCGTATGCCCACTAGGAAATGTCAAAGATCTCCGTATGCCCACTTTAAAAAGCGTGAGGATTCGTAACAACATCGTTTTGTGAAATACATTTCCTACGACATCAGCCCCCCTAAACGTTGGCGACAGAATTCCGTGTTCCCTGAAGTTCTGTTATCAGATTCAGCGCGCGAGCAGAGAGCACGTCAAAAACAGAGGACAGGGTGTGCGTGTGTGTGTGTGTGTGTGTGTGTGTGTGTGTGTGTGTGTGTTCGTGTTCATCTGAGCCTCATTGGTCTGTCACTGCTCGTCATATGTCAGAATATTTGAGATGACAAATCAAATCAAAGTAGGCGGGCTTTATATTCACAGACGCTGAGCGCGAATTTCAGCAGAGCGACTCGACGCTTCAGTTTACGGGCAAGTGCGAGATAAGATGTAAGTGGCTAAACTTCATATTTTACATTTTTTTAGGTCATAAATGTTAAACGAATGACAAAAAAAAAAAAACAAAAAAAAAAACCAGGCAAACTAATATAGTTTTTGTCTAATTTCGCCATTTTGAACTGAAATAAATAGGCCATAACGTGATTCATGCAATTTAATAGTTTACTGTCATTGCGAGGGGACAAGAAACATTAACAAAGCCGTTTTCATCATTTTAGCCACAAGAGTAATAACGAATGTGTACATATTGAGAATATAATAAAAATTGTAGCCTTTAGTACATTAAAAAAGCTCAGCCTTCGGAGGGGAAGAGAATGTACTGCCCACTGACATGGTTTTAAAGCTATTTCTTATTCTTTTTTTGGTCTTCAATCGTCTTGAAATGCACATCAGAGAAATTAAAAAAATTTGAAGCCCCAACCTCAAATTTAGGACCTCTTTGATTATAAAGCCCTGTCTATGGCCCTGTAAGATCAATAATGAATGTGTATCCTATATGTTTTGAATGCATTTAATAAACTTAATTACCTAGCTTTAGTAGCTTTCAGTGAATAAACGTGTCAGAGAAAAATTATTCATAGGGAAAAATCCACCTATCAGTTGACCCCATGTTTACTGTCTTCACTGACTGATAAAAATGAAAAGCCTATATCAGTCAAAGCTCATCTTTAGGAGGGAAGAGACAGGGCAGGATAAAACAAAGAGAAAAGAGGGTGATGCTGATGTGTAGAGAGAAATAATCAGCTGCCCAGTGCCCACTGACATGGTTTTAAAGCTGTTATCTATTTATTTATATTTATTTTTTTGGCCTTCAAAACATCCTAAAATGCACATATGTAGATCAGAGAAATAAAAATTTTCTCAGGGAAACCCTGAATCCCCATGACTAACCTATCTCACATTTGGGACAACAGTGATTATAAAACCCTGCCTTTGCATGTAATGAAACTGGTTAATAGTGAGCATTAGATCCAAACTAAAGTGTTACCTTTTTTTTAGGAACAAATCCTAAGTAATGATCAAAAATCCTATGACGCCCCTGCTTCATGCAACCTGTCAAAATCAACGTTTTTGTATCACTTGAAGAAAATATAAAAATATATATTACTATTGCACAGTAGAGTATAGGCTATTTCAAGAAGGCCTAATAATACTAATAATAGTTTATTAAAAACACACCGAAGCTCAAATTTACAACAGTTTATAGAGATAAATAAAGTAACTCGATGGAATTATGAAAGAAATTGCATAGTAAAATGTAATTTTTAAAATAATAATTAAATCTATTAAAACAGAATTCTAAAGGAATATCACACAAGTTTTGAAAATTTTTCGCAAATGGGTGGTGGTGCTGGCGGGGGGGGGGGGGGTGCTGGTATATCACAGTATACTCACTACAAAAAAGTAGACTACACCACTGGTGTAACATCAGTAGCGAACAGCCAATCACATGCTGATAGAGTTTATAGAATATTAAGAATTTAAACAAATGTACACAGGAAGATTCGTCGTCTTTTGGGAGGTGATGGAAACTACAGTCGTTGGCAGGATCCAGAGGTGGGGGACTCGAGTCACATGACTTGACTCGAGTCTGACTCGAGTCACAATTTTCAGGACTTGTGACTTGCTTGATTAAAGTACAAAAATGACTTGACTTGACTTTGACTTGAGAACAAGTTACTTGAGACTTGACTTGACTTGAAGTGGAAGACTCGACAATGACTTGAACATATAATAAACAAACAGCAATACAGTTAATTAAAATATATATTATGACGTCAGCATCAATATATCGGCATCTGTGCCTTTACGCTGCTCAATTCAAACCGCGCCAAACGGAAGTTCCGGGAGTCTCACGCATATTGATAGCGTCTCCCTGATGCCCGCAAATGAGTTAAAATCTCCCGGAATCTAGAGCGAGATACTGCGCGTATAACATACATAGCGTGCGGCGTGTGCACGGCAGAGATATGGGAAGCCAAACAAACCAAAAGTGGGACGAGACAGCGGGGCTTTACAGAGCTCGTGCCGCGCAGACATGTCATCTGCACGGTTCAATGATCCGAGCCGCGCAGCCGATTCGTCAGCGCAGCGCGGACGTGTTTCCTAGCGACACTCAATAGTCAGCGCTGTACTGACCAATTTAAAGCAACGCAAACCATATGCTACATACTACATGCAAATAAATGTACAATAAAGAAACCCCTCCTTCCTTACAAAGAATTGTTCTCTACTGAAGTTTAGGAGTTAATTATGGAGAATTCCATAATTAAAACAATCATTTGTTAATATTTATGTAAATTTAATATATAATATACATAATATTATTTAATATGTAATATTTATTAAATATAAAATATGTTAATATAACATATTACCATTTTTATTTTATATTTATTTTAAACATATTTTAAATATGTTAATATAACATATATTAACCCCCCCCTAACATTACATTCATTGAGATATACCTCCCTGAAATGAATTCTTGTAGGTTGGGATGTCTGTATATGCAGCATAGATATATACACGGCTGTGCAGCTGCAAATGCGTTTTACATATAGGTTTCAGTAAATCGAGGAAAAGGAGTTTCCGAAGACATTTGTTGGCTATGATAAGAAAAACTACTGAATTAAAAAAAAAAAAAAATTTATATTCTCATACATTTCATACATTTTATATTTTACATTTATATAAGATATAAGATATTACATTTTAGATTTCATACATTTTAACCGTTTCAATTAAATTGAATTAGACAGATTGGATTATACATGTTAGAATCGATACATCTTAGACTCTGAACGTTTTGTGTAAACAACACAATTTTATTTTCAGATATTAATGTAGCACAGATATGCATATGATTAATATAGCAAATGTAAGATACATAATATATGTATAAAAGTTCATCTTTTCTGTGCAAAAATAAATATGTATCGAAAAAATTTACCTCTATTTATTTTAGTAGTGTGACTTGACTTTACTTGAAACTTATCAGGACTTGACTTGACTTGCTTAGGGTGAACCCTTGACTTGACTTGACTTGCTTGATTTATCTGAACTGCGACTTGAGACTTGACTCGAGACTTGATGGTTAAGACTTGAGACTTGCTTGGACTTGACCATGTGTGACTTGTCCCCACCTCTGGCAGGATCACTCTGATTTCGTTTTCAGCTGATGTTCAAAACAATCACGTTTAAGCCACTAAATTAGTTTAGTCCGGTTATACATACAACCGCGAACAGCACATGTTGTCCCTGAGCTCCGTAACGACATCTCTCATAAAGATTTGCGTCTTTAAATAGTAAAATAATTCTCCGAAAAACAGCTAGCCTCTTCGCTAACTAACACACAAAATACCATTGGAATGCTACTTCCGCCGCGTCACCGGAAGTTTCACCCACTTTATTTTTTACAGAAGCGCCCCTCGGAAACTTGTGGATAGAAGTTGTGTTTCCATAGAAACTGCTTGCTGTTAGGGTTGGGTGCCGAGTTCAGTACTTTTTAGGTACCGACCGAATTGCCTCGGTACTACCGAGTATCGAAACAGGTCTTGTTTTTCGGTACCAAATTTCGGTACCAAAGTGGTTAATCTCGTCAACGTCAGTGAAACAATAAGCATGCAGCATGATTGGCTGTGGCAGAAAACAGTTTACGCAGCTGCCCAGAGACGTAGCTCGTCGCACGTGTCCGTCTGTGTGTGCGTGTAAGCGTCCCAACCCAGATAGATAGAAAATATCTGGAAATGATTCAAAGTGTGCCAGACTCGATGCCAGAAGCACGCGATGCAATATTTTCGACAAGATAATTGCCGCCAAGACCGGTAACACGGTATGATGAGGCACCGAAGCGCCCAGACACTTGAGAGTAGAAAGTTTATCTGTCTTCGACTGCAAGACCTGGAGCGATGAACTGAAACTCAGCATGTAGGATACTTGCCTCATAGACATGAGAAATAGGCCTATAGACGGTCAAAATATGTCTACTTTTAAACAAAACAATTAGAAATAAATAGTTTGATTACCTAATCCATATAAACACACGCATTCACTGCTACAGGAATGACGAGTCAGCATCGCCATAATCATATTTGCAGCCAGCACACTTATTAAACACTTGTTCATTAAATAAATAAAAAATATATATATATCCTTGCTATTGTTTCCAGACACATCCATAATTATTAGGCTACTTTTGCCAGTGCTTTGCGGCAAGCTTCATTTGTATAGCATTTTTCACAATTCATATCGTTTCAAAGCAGCTTTACAGTTTCTAAATTACAATTTAGACTGATCTGTTATCAGCAGTGATGGTGTAATGCATTTCAATTAATTTTCATTCAGTTTCATTGTTAAACAATGCATTAAGGTAAGGCAGAAACAATGAGCTCATTGAAGTAAAGAATGCATATTGTTAAATGGTTAGAAACATAGAAAACTTTAGCATTGCTGCTTTTTTACATACTCAAAATATGAGTGTGGAAAAAGTCAACAAACTGAAACAAATGTAGGTTATATTATATTGTTAAAACTGGTTACATAAAATTGGTATTAAAAAAAAAATATCGTTCAGGAACCGGTATCGAAGTCAAGGTATCGGTATCGAACATTTTTTTTACGATACCCAGCCCTAGCTGTGCTCTACGCCAGTCGACGCACTGTAAGTGATTTTGGAAATGGAGGGAAAAATTCCAACGTCCCCCCTCGATGGTACCGGTATTACTGGTGTTGTCACGCATCGATTAACTGGTGGGAGAATTTGCTCCCCATCACATCTCTACCACCGTCCTGCAGAGTTCAGCTCCAACCTCAAGTTAAAGCTAAACTCTGAAGGACAGTGGCCCTTCAGGACCGAGCTTGGACACCCCTTCTTGAAGACCCTGATGAGTGTCAAAGCTGATACAGCTCTAAAAAGATTATTGGATAATTTGACTTTTGCAGATACATATATAGATATTTGTTAAAATACTTTTAACTTGTGGTGTCTAATGAATTTGTTTTTGTGTGTCTGAAGTTGGAGAACATGCTAGGAGGAGATGAGATCTACAAGACCCACATTACCAAACATTTGGTGCCTTGTATCGCCCAGTTTGCTATCGCCATGGGAGACGACTCGCAGTGGAAAGTTCTCAATTATCAGGTTCTGCTTAAGATGCGTCACAGTTCACCTAAGGTATGCATATTCTTGAGCATGATAAATGTAAAAATACAGTTCTCAAGTTATGTACCAGTGTGTGTGTGGTAGCCTACCAATTTACAGGGCCCAAATATAAATTATGAAAATTGGTATTGAAATTCATAATTGTGAATTAGATCAATACCGAAACTTTCTTTCAAAATTGCAATTAGTCCATTGTATTTTTAAGTTGCTTTAAAGCAGGAGTCGGCAACGGGCAGCCCGCGCCAATATTATCTGGCCCGCGCCACAGCCTGAAAAGTTCTTAAAGACATTCAAAGGATTCACACCTTTAAAAAACCCAATTTATAATACACACGCACCCGACACACCACTACTAAACCTACCTATGCTATCATGTGCATGTAAAAACTCATTTTCGTGTATAATTTGCACAATAAACACCGTGCGTGCTATAGAGAAGCATTTAATGTGATCGGGTTGTCGTTGCAGATAAGACACGGCGGCTTTGCATTTACAAAACTAGGAACGCATAGTTGTCTTTTCATTATTCTTTGTTTGTCTATTTTCGCAGTCGAAACTTTCCTTTTTAGACTCTTTGATAGTGTCATTTTCTCTCACCAGCTAGCTTAAATTTTACCATCAATCTACACACAACATAATAGCGTCCCTCCAGCACGCGAACAAAAAAAAAAGCAGTTTAGTAGCTATGCGAGGATGCCAAGGAATAATTCTAAGTTTAAAAGTAGTCTATACGTCAAATCATTATAACAATAAGTTGGACTCCATTGTGTAACAAGCAAATTAAAATTATACACATTTATTATTCACAATATGAAAGAGGAAATTAAACCTAGTTTGTTAAGAGCATGACTCAAAAATGCCATTTATGGGCTTATTCAAGTCCTCTTTTATTTTTATCAGAGATGTATAAAGTACTAGAAACCCGGACTTGAGTAAAAGTGCAAGTGCTCTATCAAAAAAGTGACTTGAGTAGAAGTTGAAGTGCTCTTTAAGCACCACACTTAAAGGATTAGTTCACTTTTGAAAAAACTTCTGCTGATAATTTACTCACCCCCATGTCATCCAAGATGTCCATGTCTTTCTTTCCTCAGTCGAAAAGAAATTTAGGTTTTTGATGAAAACATTCCAGGATTTTTCTCCATATAATGGACTTCAATGGGAACCGGATGGTTCGGGTCCAAAAGACAGTGTTAATAACAGTTTCAGATGCAGCTTCAAATGTCTTTAAACGACACCAGACGATAAATAAGGGTCTTATCATGCGAAACGATCGGTTATTTCAAAACTTATTCCAAAAATGTAACTTTTCTAAGGACAAATGCTAGCCTTGCTATATTCTGTGAGGCGCGTTTGCAACGTCACGTATTACGTAATTACGTTCAAAAGGTCACGGGCGACGTAGCCGAAAGTACAGAGTCAGTGTTTACAAGTTGAACGCATAGGTTGAACGTGCAAACTAGCTCAAACACCGCATACAAAAAAAGGAATTAAAAGGAAAAACAACGATGTCGGACGATTTTGATTCTGTACTTCCGGCTACGTCGCCCGTGACCTTTTGAACGTAATTACGTATTACGTGACGTTACAAACGCGCCTCAGAGAATAGAGCAAGGCTAGCATTTGTCCTTAGAAAAGTTACATTTTTGGAATAAGTTTTGAAATAACCGATCGTTTCGCATTATAAGACCCTTATTCATCGTCTGGTGTCGTTTAAAGACATTTGAAGCTGCATCTGAAACTGTTATTAACTGTCTTTTGGACCTTGAACCATCCGGTTCCCATTGAAGTCCATTATATGGAGAAAAATCCTGGAATGTTTTCATCAAAAACCTAAATTTCTTTTCGACTGAGGAAAGAAAGACATGGACATCTTGGATGACATGGGGGTGAGTAAATTATCAGCAAAAGTTTTTTCAAAAGTGAACTAATCCTTTAAGTAGAAGTACTAAAGTATTCCACATTTTTTGTACTTAAGTATTGCAAGTAGCTTATTTAAAAATTCACTACTTAAGTACTAAAAGTAGAAGTACAAGTATTGTGTCATGCAATTATTAAAGAAAGCAGTCAAAAGTTTGAACTAGCACTCAAATGAGGCGCTTTGGCGGGATACAAATTTGCTTTGGCGGCCGCCTCTGCATTAGTAGTCAATGTGTGTGTCAATCAATACCATTACCCTATAAATCTGGTGTGTGATTTTTCTGTGCATGTTCTGACTAAGATGCACAGAACGAGCTGTTAAATATAGTGTAGAAGTGACAATGTTGGCATTTCTTTTCAGGTGCGTTTCTCTGCACTTGTCATGTTGCTGGAGTTGGCAAGCAAGCTGAAGGAGAACTATATGGTTCTTCTGCCAGAGACCATCCCCTTCCTGGCTGAGCTCATGGAGGGTAAGAACATCACATCAATATTTCATCAAATGAGCTCACGTGATTCTGGAACTTGTGGCTCGTTTCCACTGAGTGGTACGGTACGGTACAGTTCGGTTCGGTACGCAATTATTTGCGTTTCCACTGTCAAAAGTTGTGAATGGTACCAAAAAGCCGAACCGTACCACTTTTTGGGTACCCTTCCGTAGGGGTACCTAGCACAGTGAAAGCGTACTAAAAGGTTGAGCTAGACTCACTGCAGAACGCTGATTGGTGGATGGAGTATCGTCACTCGCGCGTACTACACGGGCATTAGAAGCATACAGTTGAAATATAATTCTACTGTTATTGTGTCACGAAATGTAGTTTTAAGACTTTTTCAGGCGAGAAAGTAGTTTTTTAAAGCTCAAATCTGTGGTTTATTTATAGATTTTTGATAATTTGACTGATCCATTCCAAGCGATCACCGGACGCTCGCGCTCGTGTCGCCCGCCTGGAACAGCCTTTCCTCGGCTAGTCATCCTGATGTTTGCCGCTAACTCTGACGTCTCTTTAGTGGTTAAACATGAGATATAGTTCGTCTTGTATAAACCTAACAGGTGATCTTTGGTCTCCTGAATCTATAATTCGTTCCCTGGCCAATAGTTTTGGCAGAAGGCTACGTGAAGTTTCATATCTTTGAGCGCTGGATTTGTATATTTGACTGACTGAATTGTTTCTTGATGTTAGCTTTACTGTACATCTTTTTGTACCTTTTACTTATACTTTTATAATGGCTATTATTGATAAAACTGAAATTTAACAAAAAGAGATAGTTTTGTCATTTTTAATTTTATTACAAGATCATCTGTAATGTTGCTTATTGCAACATTTGTTCAATGCGATATGCAATACATTACATTATATATTGCCTGGAATATGTTTAATATTTTTAAATTTAAACGAAAAGAGGCAGGGTTGTTTTGTTATAAATATAACGTTACAGGCTACATGCAGTGAATATAATCAATAGGCTATGCGTTGCCTGAACCACATTTGTGTGCTTTAGAATGTTTAAAATGTATTGAAATGAAATTGAAAAGAAGCAGAGTGGTGTTTTATAACATATTTCGTTTTATTGTTGCCTAAAATGAACATACAGAGATAACCGGAGTAGCAGAGCCAGAGCGAGCAGAGTGCCGCGTTCAAGAACGCGCTGTTCCATTAACAGAATTACTGGACTCGCGTCCTCGGGATCATTCTCCTGAGTCGGACTTTGCGTTGGCTTCTTGGAAACGCCTAAAGCCAGCGCTTGTTTCTAGTGACAAACGTGCCGAGAAGCAAGAACAAGATCTGCTGTCTGTCATCCATTGTTGTTTACTATGTCGCTTTCTTCGCGCGAAAATGACGTTGATCGCTTCTTTCCAGCATACCACGCCTATCAAGTAGTGTTGTCAAAAAACTCGGTACTTCGGTACCAAGTCGGTACTAAAAAAAAAAAAAAAAGTTACGGTACCAGCTTTTCTAGGTACGGAATACCAGGTTCATCCAGTTCTAGACGCGCTGTCTGAAAGGTGCACAGTCGCGTCCTCTTCATAACGCTGATATGGCTCTCTCTCTAAATCCACTTGTTGACACGAAAGGAGGAAAGAGCCACATATGGAAATATTTTGGATTAGGCTAATGTCACGTTGCCATAACAGGCCGATTACATGCAAATTCGCAATTTCAAATATAGGCGCAAGGCAAGCGCGCTCATAATAAAAACTCGTTGCATAGCAACGACAGACGCCGCGTGTGAGCAAGCGCTTTGGAAAGAATAAGCACGCGCAAAAATATAATATAAAACACGCGCGATATGTGAACGGCCTCTAAAGTGCTTTCGGGGTAGTTTTACGATTACATGAGCACAGTAGTATCTAACCAACACCAGAGTACTGGTATTAGTATCGATGCATCCCTATTTATGTTATTTAATGTCAGTGCCAGTTCTAGGCGTATTCTTGCCTTTATAACTCAGCAGGTTTAAAAAGCCTTTTTAAAATTAAATATGAATGCAGTTTTAGATTAAATAAAAGTACAGTCAAGTCAAATAAAACATGTTTTATCTCCTGTATAGTTTGGTAAAGCTACAATAAGATAGCTACCAACCATTCATCAACATTACTTAGTTCACATCAACACATTGAGTGAACAATATATTTTTACAACATTAATTAATGTTTGTAAATGTTATTTAATACAAACACTTGGTTGTTCATGTTTGTTCAATTCATTCATTGTGCATTAAATACATGTTAATGGATTCAAACTTTGCAAAAAACTTTAAAAATGTGTTAGTGTATACTATTGTTTATTTTTAGGTCATTTTATCTAATCTTTTTCTAAAGTGTTTATAATACAAATGTACAGTTCCCATACTTGTAACCGTGATAAACACTTAAATATATAAAGAGTTCAGATGCAAAAGCCTCTAAATGCCATTTGAAATTTTCTTCTAGAATGATCATTTTTATCAAGCTTGTATATTTAAGTTCAGTAATTTCACTTAAATGATAATTAATAAGTAATCTTCATTGCCATTTAAATGAAATTACTGAACTTAAATATACAAGCTTGATAAAAATGGTCATTTTAGAAGAAAATTTCAAATGGCACTTAGAGGCTTTTGCATCTGAACTCTTCATATGTAAATTTAAACCAAGCTTTGGTACCGAGAACCGTGAATTTTTACTGGTATTGGTACCGAATATTAAAATTTTGGTACCGTGACAACACTACTATCAAGTAAGGGTACTGTTGGCGGTGGAAACGCAAGCCCTCAGTGGAAACGAGCCATTAGTGTTCTCTGTTACTGCCTTGAGTTGTTATAAGAACACTTAAGATTTAACAGTCAGAATGTATTTATTCCTCCTTGTTTTGCAGATGAATGTGAGGAAGTTGAGCACCAGGTGCAGAAGGTTATTCATGAAATGGAGTCTGTCCTCGGAGAATCACTGCAGAGCTACTTTTAGAGTCCCACGACTTTCACACCATCACAGACGCTTCTCACACCCTCTGAGTGTGTGTTCATTATTCTTGCATAATATTTACTGATGACCTGTGCTGCTAGAACATGGGTCAGTCTGCCCTCCGGTTCCACTGCACACTTTATCACCGCTCTGGCGGCTTGGCCTGTCCTACCTTTGACTTCTGCGTGGGCAGTTTGGGGCACAGGTCAATGTAAAATGTGTGGCTTTTTGCAAGCCATAAATCACTGGATACCACATTTCTTTCTAAGGTTATACAAAAAAATGACGTTAATGTTTTTTAAAAGAATGGTTTTATGGCATTTTGTAATGCAAATTGATCTTTATCTAAAATTTGAATATCATAAAAAGATGAGCCTGGGAAATTATGCATTTGTGTTTGATTAAAGTGGGGGAAAAAACATGGGTTCAATGAAAGTTCAGATTAACCATACGGTTTTAATGGGTTACATATTTGATATCTCTACCATGCATACATTTTCAGATAAAAGCTGCCTGTTCACTGTGGTTCTGTCTTTCTGGAGCACCTGTGAATTTAATGTGCCTCATATACTTACATAATGATTCTGCATGTTATTGTAAAACTAAAAAATAAACCATGACTTCAAATTCCTGGCCAATATGATTCAAATGCAACTAATGATATCGATGTCATTGCATCAGCCTTGACTTTTAATTATATCAGTTATATGCTTTGTCTATTATTTACTATGATGCAATAGATGAGAAGAGTTGCGGTTACTTTTCATGTCTTGCTTTTTCATCGTTTATTCAAAGGCAATGGACCACAGGCACAATAACCGGTATATTATTATGCCTGAGGCCATTGGCATTCGAATAGACTAGAAGAGAGAGTTACGGTTACTTTAGCTTTTTCAAAGTTAAAGATTGCATCATAACATCTGAATGTAATCTATATGCTGTGGGGTTGCTGTACAGTGTACTACTTGCTTTTAGTTTAATGTATTTACATACATTACATGTACTTAGTAATAACAGTAAATTATGCATACAGACATGCAACTCAGCCTAATCCTATTATATCCCCAGAGGAAGTACATGCTAATTAATATTATTCAACTTAAATGTATAATTGCACTGTAACAATGATACCTTATAATAAAGTGTAACCCTCAACCCATCCGAAAACTTAAGCGCTCGATACCGAATACTTGGTTATATAAAGTGTTACCGTTATAACTCAGTTATTGTTACCTATTATGTACAGTTGGAACAGGACTGTAAAATAAATAGTATTTTTTTAAGATTAAATTAATCTACAGATGAGATATGTAAATGTATCTGAGGTGTTGTAACAGTTTATTACATAAACTAATTTTAAACAATATTGTTATGTGACGAATATATGTTTACAAAATTCTGTGTTTTCCCCTATGAATTTGGAAAATAATGTTTAAAAGTTAATTCAGCTATGCAAAAATGTTTATTAAATGAAATATCTTTTAAAAATGTACTTAATTCTAAATTATTAGTTAACAATAATAATACTTAATATAAACATTTTTAGATCATTTGAGCCAAAATAAACTTTACACTTCAAATAAAAGTACACTTTTTCCAAGTCATCTCAATGGAAAAAAAGTGTCCCAATCACCCTGAATTTACCCCTATGTATTTCATACAACATCAAATGGCTTGATCAAATAATAACACTTGATGATAATAAGATGGAGAGAACTTATAATGTAAATAATATGATATAACGTGTATTTCCTTAATCCTTAATAGAAAAGTTAATGTTTTCACAATCGCTTCATTTGTAAACGAACCGCTTTATATGCAAATTAGGCGACTGCAACTTCTCAAACGAGTTCATCCATTTACTTTTTTTGTCCACAACAGGAGAAAAAAAGGTTAATGGAAGAGCGCGAGCAGCCCAATGACTGGCAGCGGCCAGTGTGTCGTCACTCGTCCTGTAATCTGCTTTGATTTGAGCCGCTTTATTCCAGACGGTTGCTGGAGACACCGTTACAGTAATGATGAAGCGTTTGGGCGGATTAAGAGCTGCTTTTCACATATTCAGAAGAGACCTCCATCATCAGCACAGTGTGGGGATAATAGGTGCGCCATTCTCTAAAGGACAGGTGAGATATAAAGGCCCAAAGTCCTTTTCTCGTTTAATATAATAATATTCACGAATGAAAAATGATATGTTTGCATGTAAATGCACGCATGGTGCAGTATAGTGCCGGTCTAGTGCTCATGTTATTGCCTGTTATTGCAGCAGAGGGACGGTGTGCAGAGAGGAGCAGACCTCATTCGAGCTGCTGGATTGGTGCAGAAACTTAAAGGGCAAGGTGCCACTAGCACTACACCTCCTGATATTTACATTAGATAGCAATCTTTCAGTACAGTATGCATCGAAAATATTTGAAACAACACCTTTTTCTTTCTTGTTTAATTATTAAAAGTGCAGTTCAATATCCCTGTACATTCACATTAAATATGCTGAGTGTAAATAAAGAGACTCCATGACATTTTGGGTCAAATGTGATTAAAATTAATTTATTTGAATTTTTTTTTAAATTGTGACCATCTGTTCTCTAAAAAAATCTAGACTACTTATATGCAATTCTTTTAAACTTTAACCTAAATCTTAATGTTGAAATGGTTACATTTTATTTGTTAACTACACAGTACCTATACTAATGTGTACGAATTTAGGCTGCGTATAGTCAATATTCATCTTCTTTTTTGTAAAAAGTGCTTTAAATCCATTATTTCTTCAGGGCCCTATACACTAAAAAATGCTGGGTTGTTTTAAAAATTAAAACTTTTACCCAACGGTTGGGTTTGTCCATATTTGACCCAATTTTGGGTTGTTTTTGGAGTTTATAGCTCTTTGATTGCACAAATGTTTTACTTTGTTAAACTTTAAACAAATAGCCGAAGGCACTGATGCCATGTGTTTATTTATTTGGCATTATCTTTATTTATTTACCTAAGAAGATGTGATCTCATAGGTGCAGTAACACTGACATTGTTCCTCTCCCCTTTCTCTGTGTATTCAATATTGAGAATTGGGTTCTAAGAGTGAAGCATATATGTGCACATGATCTTAACTCAAACAAACTAGTAATGTTTAATAATGTTACTTCCAAACTTGAGTTGATGGTAGAACAGTAAACTCTACATTTTGAAAAAGTCAAATCAGTGATTTATTTAGAAACTAATTTCAAGATTTTTTTAATCATTCATTTAGTATTTGAATAAGCACGTTTTTAAAACTCCATAAGTCAGTGTACACAATGTATAATGTGTATAGTATATAGATATAGATATATATTTGTTAATATGTTAATACGATTTATGTATTTCAGTTGCATATACATTTTCCATCTATTGTCAGTCATGCATGAAATATAGAGATAAGATTTCTGTAGATTTCTTTCTGTAGACTTTAATTATTTGGAAAAGAGTGATCAATAAAATTTTTCTATAGTGTTCCGTGTTCAAAATCACACCGTTTTTTATGTTGGGGTGAACTATTCCTTTTAAAAGCTACTTTGTTTGATGCCCTCTGTCCCTCCTCAGGTTGTGTAGTGAAGGATTATGGCAATCTGACATTTGAAGAAGTTCCCAATGATGAGCCCATAGGCAGGCTGAAGTCTCCGAGAGCAGTCGGCCGAGCCAACGAGCTGCTCTCTGGAGCCGTGCAGAAGGTCAAAAGCGATGGCAACACTTGTGTGATGCTGGGAGGAGATCACAGGTGATTGTGACATTTGCAAGCACCAAATCAATATTGAATCATTATGCATATTCATTCTCAACAGTATGTTTTCTGTTTCTTTCAGCTTGGCGATTGGTTCGATCGCCGGTCATGCCGCCTCAAGACATGAGTTGAGTGTTTTATGGGTGGACGCACATGCAGACATCAACACACCTTTGACCTCGCCAACGGGAAACATTCACGGACAACCGCTGTCTTACCTCATCCATGAACTGCACTCTAAGGTCTTTAATCATTTCAGCAACTTGTGTTAAAGTTTGTGTGATATGTTACACAGTCAACTCTAGTAACATCTTAATCTCCTGGCCATGGGCCATGGCTGGTGTCAGTATTTTTGAAAACAACTTTTTCAATTATCTTGCCTGTGAAAGGAAGATTTGAGATTGGTCTATAGTTGCTTAACCTCTTAACTGTCACCGTCCCGGTACCAGGACGCCTAACTTTACTTCACTATATTTCTATTAAATCCTAATCTAATTATGACAAATTATATATTGTTGGAAAGGTCTAAGACTTCTAAATAGATATTCTACCCCTGTTTTGTGTTAAAATTTATGTAGGAAGAGTAATTGATGAATTTATGACAAGAGTGCACCTCAAAAAATCTGCATCATAACAGGAGTTTTGACCTTTGTCACAAAAAGTTGATGAACCCACTTTTAATCATTGAAACTTCTGTTTTTACGCTAAAAGTTCATGATAAACATATAATCTAGTATTTTTCAATAAAAAATAAAAAATTATAGTACAATATTATCCTCTAAAAATGATAGTATTTATATTTATTATCCTCTAAAATATAATATTATTTTTTATCGCCTTTTTTTATTATATCACATATTTTAGTAGTTATCATAAATTAGGTATCATTTGAAAGCTTATAAACTCAGAATTCATCGTGTGAAAACTGTTTTATAATTGAAAGTTGCGTTACCATAGAAACGGTACTTATTTTATCAGGCTCCTCCCCTTTTGGGCATCATTATATTTCATAATTTATTGTCAAAACCTTTTCTAATCTTGACAAAACTGATATTGTCAGAAAGGTCAGAGTCTCAAGGTTCCAAATTTTGTGACAGAATTGATATTTGGACAGAAATTTATTAATTTGTTAAGGCAGAATGTATACAACTAAATTCAATGGAATTCAATGGCACCCGGTGGCTATTTTTGGTACTACGCCTAAACAAAATCTCATGGGAACTTCAATTTTTGTGATATCAACTTCAAATTTGGAACATAACTTGATAAGATGTATGGCTTTGATTTTATAGAAATTTTAGTGTAAAAAATATTTTATAAAATATATATTTTATATAAAATAAAAAATATATAGTACAGTATATTTCATTTACTGTAAATTTAAACTTCCATAACTTTTTCAAACTTTCATTTTTTAAAGTGTTTTCACTTCAGCAATATTCTGCTGAGTGTTTTCTTTAAAACAAGACCAATCTTGGGTATATATTCCAAAGCATTCTTAAATTACAACCATTTAAGTTTGAATAGTGCATTTTAACCCCCATTCTCAAATAGGGGGGTGACAGCTAAGGGGTTAATATGGTTTTATCCAGATTGCTCTTTTTCGGGGAGTGTAGAAAAGTCCCAAAGAGAAGTGAGGCAATTACCACTTCTAGGATATCTACTTTTAAACAGTTAAACACACATTTGAAGAAAGTTTGGGAAGTGTGCCAAGTGTGCAGGTTAATGTTTTAAGGTGCTGTACGGTTTCTTCCTAAATTTTACCAGTAATTTCTTCAAAATCAGACACTTTCTTAGGTTGTTTGTCTGATCTGTCTGACCCCAGCGCAACTCAAGGATGTGCTGATCACCTTTCTCCCATTATTGATTTTCTCAG